GAATGGAAGGTAGACGTTTACACATTTTGCATAGTACGCATTGTTTCAACTTCCAGACCCTTGTTTGCCGTGACTGCCGCCAGCAGTGAGTGCTCGAAGAAGCGCCGAGTGCTTGGAAAGCTCCCCGACCCATGCCTCCGGTCTTCCAGTTCCAGTTCTCCACGGCATGGCTTAGCTTCGGGAAACAGTTCCCGAAAATCGCAAAACCTCTTCCACGAAGCAAAGGCATCCCTTCTGTCTCATCTCGTTGAGCATAGGGGTCACGATTTCTCGGAGGGACCGAACACTTTCGACGTGAATCGAAGAGAATTGAGACGATTTGGCGCCAAATGGTGTCCATTCAGGAATTCGGATCTCTATCTCAAGCGGAATCGTTGGGCACGTAGCGAGGATTCGAACGAAAGTGGCTCGTCATGACGGGGAAACTTCACTCGGAACTTCAGTTGATACTATCCATATGTCAGTCAGTCAGTTTGACACCTTGCCGGTCGGCCGACAGAGAAAGACGAGTTCCAGCTGATCAACGGTATCGGAATCGGAACGAGAATGGGTCTCTTACATCACATCGGTGTAGCGACTCCGGCTACATGAACGGCGGCCATGGTAAACCACGTTGGCCGTGATAATCCAAGTCAGCAGCGGTAGGTATCTGGTCGACTCGCTGGTCGATCTAGTATTCCATGGTATGCGACATTCGATGACGCAGCTCCGAAGAACGACGTCGTCGCAGTCCCGACGCGAGCAGTCCGATCGCGTTCAATTGGAAAGCGTTTACCACCAGATCGCATCGGCTCAAATTATGGTGATCCGGACAATGCAGAATGAAAGCGAGTTATCTAAATTCCATGCAAGTAAACAGTCGGACGGATGACGACAAACTCGAATTCGACGACGTTTTCCCCTCGACGTCTTTGTATTTTCGCTAATGGGCTTGGGCAGCCGTTCAGGCACTTGAACTTCGGAACTCGAAAATTGAAGAACGCACGAACGCGTGAATAGACCCTCCGAATACGACGATGGGGCTGAGCAAAAGTCGCACACAAAGCCCTCGGGGAAAACTGAACGCGACGCCTCGTCATTGATGCTTGGGAGTTGTTAAACCGATGCGTCCAGTTTTCAACGCTTCCTCGGACGTCCGGAATTCCGCTTCAAACGTATTCTACTGGAAGTCACTGCTTGCGTACGGGAAGAGCCACACAACAAGCCCCCGATCGATTGATTCATCTGCCTTCTCCAAGAGTCCTCCCAGCTTGGTTTTCCCGCTAGCTCGGATGTTGACGGAACATGAGGGGGGTTGAGGAGGGTGATCTTCGCTTCGCCCTTGATGCTTAGCAGGGAATCGAAACGAGCGACCGAACGTATTTTCGAAAACTGGACGCCTGCCCGGAGATCCCTGAGATCCCGATGCCATGCGGGAGACGTCGTCCTTCTGCAGCTCCTCCAGTTACGGATATTAATTTTTGTTCCCCCTTCAATACTCAGTATCGAGCGGCGGTATGCGGCGGGATTAAACTTGTCCACGCTACGGTAGCTCGATCAATGGCTCTTCCTCCCATTCATAAAAATCTCGCCATTCACTGCCTTTCATTTTCTTCATTTTTCCCATGAAGGAACCGTCTCCAGAGGAGGGTGAGAAAAACAGTGAGGGTCACGCAAATCACGACAACACTTTTCCAGAGACGGGGAATCAAACAAGACGACGCGCTTATTCAAGCAGAATGAAAACAGCCTTTCTATCGACTTGGAGCTGGGGAAGAAGGTTCTGTGAATGAATCGGACTTCCCCGGATTCCGGTCGACTATCGAGGGGCTCAGGGGCGGATGTGGTCGACCATTCGTCGATGAACCAGAATCCGCGATGTCCGGCCAAACGGCAGACCGGGCACCTCGTTGGAGCATCAGAAGTCGCCGCTCGGGCTCAAATGGCGAGGTCTCGTTATTCGGCACTTCCACTCCGTCCCAAAAGATTGAAGGGTCGCACGGCATCGACAAATGTCGACAGCATGTCGGAAGCACTTTCTTTTCGGGATCAATCGAGACTTCAGATCTCCAGCGATGTTCTTCAGAACAGGGCGATCTTTGATTGTCGCAGCCCTCAGCGGCGCGGCGTTGTGTCTCGTTGTGTCGCCTGTTAGTCGAAGTACAGCGATAAACACAGGTCTTTTGGAGCTCAACTCGGTCGAATCGAGAGAAAGGAAGAAAGCGTATTTCAGTAATGTTACACAGAATGAGTCAGAATGGGATTTCGCCATCAGATTCTGGCCGATTCCCAGAAGTTGAATTAAGTTCACCGATCTAGACTTCTCCCTCGGCCTTCAAGAGCCGAGCCGGGAAGTGCTCGCAATAACTGTTTGTCTGGGAATCTTGACGCGAAATTCGCTCGACGAACAACTTCGTTTCTCGAGCACAAGCGAGAGCATGGCCCGTACCAGCGCAGTAGACCGCGCCTGATCACCATTTTAGACTTGATTTGTTTTTCCTCGAATCCTCGATGGAGATCCTTTTATGAGTGAAAACACTAGATCGAGTCGAGTGAACAGCAAGCGATGTCTCCAGGTCTCCAAGTGCCTGCCAGCAAGCACTTGGGGGCTCCCATCACCTCGGAGAATGCCGGAGGTCCGGCTAAGTCAGATCTGCCAGATGACAAGCCAATTCACACCTCCTACGAGCCTCCGCTAGATGCGAGAAACCAGCGTGGCTAATTACTCGAGTTTGCCTATCTGCTGAGTTTGATAGCTTTCAGATCGTTCCCACTCCTTATCAGACGGTCATGTCTGGAAGTTCGAAGTTGGAACCCGAGATGTACCGCTTACGAATCGCAGGAACGAGATCTGACGAGCCGCGGGAGGACGTGAAATCGTGAAGAACAGTACTGCATTTCGAAATTCGTGATCACCTTCCCTGCTAGAGATCGGAATCCTCATCGTCGAAAAGGGAACATCCAAGGCGGCGACAAAGATCGTGCATCTGGGGGTGCTCCAGAAAAATCAACAGGGCTTCCTTGGATCGGGAGTCACGTTTCCGCCGGAGCCGCATCGACATGAATGAGTATGAACCCCATGCACAAGAGTATTTTGAGGACTCATCGAATAATCCCGACAGTACGATGTCGCGGCTTCAACGACCCCGAGTTCTGTCGTCTCAGAATTGAGCTCATGACCGGTGAGTCCACGCAGATCACATGACTTTCGAGATGAAATTCGTCGAGGTAGTCGAGACACTCGGAGTCAGCGTGCTCCGTTCTCCGGGCAAGCGTTTCCCCGTCACAGGAAAAGCAACCCAGTCGAAACACCTGAACCTCCCAGTCTGAGATACAGTTTTCGCTTTTGCGTTCTCGATTCGCCCATTCTCAGCGAAAAAGAAACAGAGGCATGCGCCATCAGAGCTATATCGCCAATAAACGATCCATCGGCAGTTCGCCGATCGCAAATTTTCGTCAAAAAACTCATGCTAGACTCATGGTTCAGTCTGTGAACCTTCGTTCAATATTCTCGAAGGTGAAAGCTCCTCCAAGCTGAACAAACAAAAGTTCACAATGCCAATGTCATGCGTCTCGTTTGTGTTGTCGAGTTGTCAAATCCAAGGTCTTGATGCTGCGCGCGTCGCCGTGGAAGCCGCACATTTTCTCGCCTCGGTCCCGCCTTGATTCTTAGAGACGGAAATGAGAGGTTGTCTACAAGATGAAGTCGAACTCGGGTATCAATCGATCGGCGCCGGACGACAGACTTCTGTTCCTCGGATGCGGCGCTCCGCAGAAGCAGTCTTTCGCGTTGGTCAGCGCCCCCTCGACTATCCTGGTCCATCCCAGAATGCCGAATGACTCTCTGCATCGGGATGACCGACAACCATAACGATACTTGTAATCAGGCTATAACGGATTTCGATCCTGCAGCTTTACTGTAGCAACTCCGGGATTCTCACACCTAATCCGCAGTTCAACGCGCATCAAGAGAGCTATGCAAATCTCACCTGTAGCCTCAATTCCGGCTGCGACAGGATCGGCGATCCGATTCGAGGGACTATGATCAAGTCGATCTAATGACGCGATCTCATTTCAATGACATTCCGAGTTCCACGCATCGATGCATCAATCAGCGTATCCGCATCTCGCGAGTACCTCCAGCACATCACAGATTCCTGCTGACTGGATTTTCCGTCCGAAAAACCATCCACGGAATGGTACTAACTAAGCACAGGACAGTTCTGGCTGCAGCCGAAGTATAGATATCGGCTGTTATCTTCGGTCCACTAGCTTCTAGCTCACCAACATAGACACCGACTACACTGTGGAAGTCGCCATCTTTCCGTGGTAAGGGTGGACAGACACGAATGTCTGCAGCGCCCTCGGTGGCCACGATAAATCGACTTCCCATCTACTCACTAGCTATTGAGACTCCCTGTGCTATATTTCAAGTGATACAAGCGAGGTCCATGGGCAAAACTTCACGCCGAAAGGCGAATGAGTCATTGATAATGAGCCCCCAATTATTCGTAAGAGGTTTCTACCACGCATCAGAAATCAGAACGTGAAATCTGGTTTGGAAATGTTCGTTCTCGGATAATGTTCTGCCAAGGCTTTAGTCTCGTATCGAATGCATGATTTCTCTTCCTCGTCAAGGAATTGATGGACTTGGGACACGGGTCTCCGTTACCTTCCAGAACTCTCGATCCCAGCTATCTAGCGTCAAGCGGCAATCGAGTGTTCATCGGCGTCTTCGACGGCCTTTTAGCTGCTTGAAGAACTCACGATCCCTCACTCAGCCAGAACGTCTCTCGCCAGGATTCGATCTCTTTTCCGATAACAATGGACAGCCTCCGAATCGGCGGGATTGAGAAATTCGGTTCTCATCATTTAGTATACTTGTAGCACTCAACCAAGACTCTATGCCTCTCGGCACTCGATGCCCATGCCCGTGGAAACATAGTATATCCGGATCGACGATTCTTCAGATCGCCGCCAAGTGTGACCACATACTTCTTCTCGATAGGAAATGCACTCACCGGTGAAATCAGTGATGGTGTCTGCGCGGAGTTTGTAACGGGGAATCTGCTCCTCGATGAGACTGACAAGTTCAATTTCAGCACAACTGTTGTTGTTAAGCTCTGTGAATGAAAACCAAAAGTCAATGGAACACGCTCCCAAAACGTCCCCAAAACTCTTTGATTAGACCGAGTTGTCGGTACTGAGAAGATTTCACTCACCTGTTAGGGTGCCCGCGTGTTTGTAATTGGTGTGAGAGTGCGAAGGTGACAAAGCTAGATCTGATTCATCTATCTTTGATGAGGTAGGTGAGCGATTGAGGGGTGCGGCAAGCTTCGGCGGCGGCGCCTCTTCATTGGTTGAGAGCGGCTCCCCCTTCGCCTTCCTCGTCTGCGACCGCGCCGGGGGAGGTCGCTTGAAGGCTCTCGACTCCAGCTTGCTCCTCGCGACAGCGGGCGGGGACCCTGGAGTCCCCTCCTTTAATTCGTACGTGATGCCGTCTTGAATGAATTGATCGGGCCCAGACCCGAACCTTTCCCGTATGGGAGCGTGAGTCGCGTGGGAGACAAATCCGGATGACGATGATTTATCTCTAGGTGCGCTGCATCCTATGGAGCTCTTAGGAGACTTCGAAGAATCGCCGGAGGGTTCGCCTTCATCCTGCAACGGAGTCGTGGATAGAGTTAAGAGGGATGGTAAACAGTGACTGATGTCGGGCCTCTTGGAAGCTTCAAACCTCTTCACCGCTCGGCAAGACGATCTAATTGCGAGTGAAGTCTCGCCATCGCAAGAGTACCGCGTGATTTTCCGGATCGAGACAATCTTATTCAAGTATCGAGAAAGCCTTTCGGGAATAAGCTCTGAATCCTGAATCGTTCAGAAAGGGCGTGGTGAAATTCGTGGTACGCTCTACTGCACCGGGAGACCAGGCGCCCCGCGCTACTCTCACAACCATCGAATAGCCCAAAAACGAATCGATGTCGTGAAGGACGAAACTATTCCATGTCGACTGACCGGGTCACTCAAATGCCATTCCTGAATTGACCCGTAGTCATTGAACCCGACTGACACTTCTCCGAAGGAGAAATCTGAAGGGTGAATCTCTCAATGTATCATACTCTACGAAGATAAATGTCGCGGTTAAGTACCTCTTGTAGATCGATACCGCTGTCGGTCAGCGAGGAAGGGATATTGTACTTCCTCAGCACTTTTTGAGCTCCACTCATGACTCCGCTCCGCGAGTAAATCCGATCCGCACTCAAATCATGTCACCAAGTCCGATCGTTGGGAACGATCCTAGCCGAGTTCCTGAACACACAGCACTGATTCAATACAGGGAAATGGACTCCACGCACCAGAACCTGTTTCCTGAACAATCGAACTCTCAAAACAAGCGAGTAGACGGCTTTTCTCTCGACCAGACTAACAGCTTGCTCTGACGAACTTCGTTCAGGGACCGCCGCGTCGGATGGAGAGTGAGAAGGCTCTCTAAAAATAAGAATCACATACCGAAGGTGAGACCTTAACTCTGTGGAGAGCGACAAGTACTTCGCCCGCCGCGCTTGATGAAGCGGCCAGCGATATGAATGACATTGTCTATCGGTAAATCAAAGCGGCGTCTGGCAGGCAGGCGAGTCGGCGAGCGACATGCCAAGGAAGGGTTCGGTATATGCCCGAGGTTCACGTCCATAACGGCGTGTAGAAAGTCACAATTGAATATGCATCTGCAGAGCCATCGGCGCGCTGCACTGTATTTTCTCTAACGCAACTGAACTAATGAACGAATGGAACTAATTGGTGAATCGCGCTCTAACAGTTCCGCGCGGTCGATGCCTCAGCACCAGTGTGGACCGGTGAAGAACATCTTTATCCTTCTGATGGAGGTTACCAGAATGGGTTACCATAGGAAAAATGAAATCGAATTTCTCGTCTCTCGTTCTCTTCCAATTAGACGGGATCAACGGTCGGCAGCTCACCGTCAAGGACAATACAACAGTCAAAATTTCGGAATTGCTTGGTTCCGGACACTTCTTTCGCCAAAACCCCGGCCTCGTGGAAGTTTTGTAGGCCAAAAACTGACATATTATTTGATATCGGTGCATTGTCTAGATTTCTAAAAAATGCATGAGCTGTTTAGCGGAACACCAACGCGTTGATTGTCTTCTCTCAGTCGAGGCGAGACCCTGTCAGTGGTTTGCGAGAGCTTCGCATGCTCGTGCCAACGCTCGTCTCTCTAGAAGATAACATCGGGTGGTGCACGAGCGAGACCCAACTACTTCAAGGTTGAGGACACGTCTGGCTGACGATTGATGCGGCTTCTTCCTCCCTGGAATCCCTTCGGACATCAGAAAGAGGAACGCCGACAGAAAGTCACCCCTCATCCTCTGACTTCGATCATGAGAGCCGTTCTCGTTTTCTACCGCATCGATGCGATAACGAGCAAGTTCAAAACCCCGATAGCAGCTCAAATTCGCAACAGAGTACAGATCCTAATTCTCAGAGTTCTGCTTCCGGAGTGAATGCGGGACTTCAGATAGGCTCTGAGGATGCACGAAAAGATTCTCCGAAACTCGGAGAGATAGGTTTCACACTCGTGAAACACTCTTTTGTGAGTGCATTTAGAGAATCACCACATAAAAAGCAGTGGTTTCACTACAAGCTCCGGAAACGCTGAGTAGGCCGCGGATCGAGCGGGAAATTCGGCTGAAACCTCGCCAACCAGTGAACCTCTCCCTCTCTCTAAGAGCTTTTACCTAATCGAGGTCATTCACCGCAAACTCCACGGACTTGCTGTCGATTCCAGCGGGGAGTTGAATGCTCTTCCGTCGCGAATCGACCAACCTTGCGTTGATCTTTGGTGAGATTCGAATCGCTACAGTAGCCGAATCTGGTGTCTGTCTCCCAATAGATCGACCGTTCCGCAACAAAATGAGCCTCAAGCGCGAAACACTCGCGGAACTTCCGAGGAGGAATTCTCAGAAGTTGGAGCAACACCGGGAAGTCGCCGAATATCCAGCCGACGACTGGGCCCGCGTATCAGAAATTTAGATTCTCTCCTCTGAAATCCGAATCAAGATGGGCTCGCGTGCAATACAAACGGACCAAAAGGAAACAGATGCAATCACTGATCCCGGCCGCTGCGATATCCAGTGTGACCCGGATTGCCTCCGGAAGTCGCGCTAGCTCTCGCTGTAATGAACTGCAGGGACGGGTCTACCGGGATCGCATGGCCGAGAGCGTTGGCAACAAGTCCGATCGATGTTCGGCGATAAGTATTCGAATGTTGGATGGAGATCACGATGCATCGCATAACCGTGCGTCGGAGCGAGAACTCTCTCAAGGAATTGAATCTAATCCTTCATCCATATATGTTCTCCTCGCGCGGGGAGTCGGGGAGTTCGACGAGCGACCAGGGGAGCGAGAAGCTCCACGTGGCTGAAGGAAATCCGTGGCCGCGGAATATCCTCTGGCTCGATCCGAAGGTCGCGCTAAAACGCAACCATCCGCTCCCAAGGGCGATACCAAGGCCATTCCCCAGCGTCCTTTCCTGCGCCGGACTCCAAGGTCGTTCACCGATCGAGGTTCCGCTCTTTCCCAAACCTAGACTGGAAGAGGAGATGGGAAGATGGGAGCGGCCCGCCCTTGAACTAGAATACTGCAGGGTCCTTGACCCACTCGCAGCATCCCCACCTCAACAGCTGCTCAGCTCGAGCTCTCAGCACGGGAAATGTCCCCTCAATACAAAGGCTTGCTTTGTTGGAACCCGTTGCATTAGACGAGTCTGGTCTGGCTAGAACGAGCTCAGGCAGAGCCTGATCGAACGCAGCGGCCCCGTTCGATATCACTAACCTTCAGCGGCTTCGCTAGACACAGGGAAGAAGGGGCGATCGTCGTCCATGGGGATCACACTCTCGAATTGGACCGTGGCCAGAATTTTGGAGGATCGAACCGGAGCTTGGAGTGCTGCCTAGAGTTTTCTTTGGATGGTGAGCACATCAATGAAAAGAGGCTTTTATTCAAGAATTCTAGAAGGGGGTCGATTCCGTCCCGATGAGTAGTGCCACTAAACTTTTTTCGACAGAACCTTGACACATAAGCTATCTCAAACTTCCAGAAACATTGTTTCGTGAATCCGTAGCATCTGCTGGCGAGGCTTCCACGGCGCGACTGTAATCATGGGGAGTCATTGGGAATGGACGCCTGCTTATTACGTTAACTACCACACAGACACCGCAACAGAAGGTTTCAACGCGACTGCCGTGGGTTGCGTCATTCGCCCGGCGTCGAAAGCCTTGTTTGCGATTCAGATTTTGCTCCGACGATTCCGCTCTGTTAATCGCCAAGACAAATCTCGACGATTCGACGATGTGGCTAGATTCCAAACTTATCCGAGAAGCGGATGAAAAGGATGTGACGTCGAGTATTCCCGTTCCCGTCCCGCTGAATGATCAGTCTACATGTTTGCCTAGAAGTCCACGATCGATCGAGAGACCCATGGTACCATCATCGGAACTATCGACTCTCCTGTCGAGAACGGTGCTCCAGAGCCGACCAAGAAAACGCACAAATAAATATCTCTCAAATAGCCGCTGAAGCATTTTAGCGACGGTAGTGCCGTAGCTGCCTGCCTTCCGTCAGGGACTAGCATTCAGATCCGGATACACATATATCGATCATTAATCTTCGCATGATTCTCTACTTTGATGTTTCCCTTGTGGTTCGAGGTTGCGAAATTCCTGAAGCATCCAGAGAGCTCCAAGAGAGAAGCCAAGCCCCTAAAATGACCCTTTCCAAAAATAGAAGCTAGAATCCTCGGCGAATACGACTAGGTGGAGCAGAATAGTTAGGATTATATCCTGTCGTGACCATGGCTGAGGCTCCGGGTAGGATGTCTCAGGTGACATGTACACTATATGAGCCTTAGCCAATCATCAGATTATGAGACACTCAGCACAGCTTCACGCGTCATTGGGCTCACTGACGGAGGGAGAGTACCTACTGCTCATGATATGAACGATCAGAACTCCGATATCAATCGCCAATCTCTGGCTCTCCATTTGAGTCATTTTCTTCCCGAGGTATTTTCGACTGCGCTCGTGAGCTCAACCTTAAAGGATGTCAAGCACGGGTACTATCACTTAGTAATCATGACTTCCAGAGTAATGACGAGTTCCTGTTCGGTGATAGAGTCAGCGGTGAGTCGACGCTCACCAAAGTGTCTCCATGACTTATGCGAAGAGATGGAAAGGAACTATATGCAGTCATAGGAGCTATATGCAGTCATATCCATCAGGAATGTGCTCAGATTCGACTTGAGTCGAAGGAATATCAGTGTCCGTCGATATGGAAGCGCACCATTGTGACAACGCGCTACTCTCGAGCGAGTCGGACATCGATGCTCGCTTCCTGTGGAACGGCCAACCTTCAATCGCATTCGCAGATTATGCCGATAGTATCTACACACAGCGAGAGTTTGCCCCCCAAGCACACACACTGTAATCAGCGGAAATTTCTTGAGTCGTGAAGGCGGATTCCGCGCTTCAGACGGAATGCTAATGTGAAGATAAAAGCACTCTAAGAATTGTCGCAGAGTGATCCCGACGAGAATTCTGTACTAAAATCTGATTCACTGGGATAAAGGGTGGACCGTTTTTGTTTCTTCGGAAAGGCTCTGGATCCCGCGAATTCGCGGACACTCACCCTTTGAGTCTTCCGAGCGATGACACAGGGATAACAATGCTATCGAGAAAGTCTGACAGTTATTCACTTTTCACAAGAGAGTCACTCCGAGAGAATATCACGCACACGGAGAGCTAAACGATGGAACTCTCCAGTACTCTGCTTGCGGGTACAAGTGCTGCCGCAGAAATTCGACGGGGCCGCCATCTTGGAATGATCCATGGTTGGAATCCACCACAACTTTCGGCGCGTATTCCGCTTTCCCTGGAGGATTTCTGCTTCAGAGCTCGAACACGCGAGGAAGGAAGCACTGATCGGGGAGGGCTTTCTTCCGGCTATCTGCCAGAGTCGGAAATCCGTAGGAGGCAGCGGTCAGATGAATATCTCTCGTTCTAGCATTGCGCGCCTTCAAAACATCGGGAACGAATGGTTGGCGGTGAGCAACCGCTCGACTGACCGCTCCTCTGATCCGTGAATAAACTCGCACAACTTGGTCAAACCCGTAGATCGGAGCTCGATGGGCAGCTTCGCCCTCAGAATCGGTGCTCACTGTTGACTCCCTCTTTTTGGAGCATTCAGATTGAATTTGGCGCCAAAACTATCGAAGCTCGATCATCCGTTTTAATAAATCGTCGCTTGCTGTCGTCGAACGATTCCCTCGATCCGAGGGGAGTTGATAGTAGACAGGCAAAGTTATGGAGAAGTCGGAGTGGAACCATGATGCCAAGACATGTGGATCGAGAAATCTGTCCACAAGATGGCGGCATCCATGTGTCGTCGTCTCAGACGGGCTATGTGTTTCACTTTCGGTGTGTGTTGTTGCTCTTCAAATCTTGTCATTCATTAAGAATTCGAGCGAGGAGCATTTGTTACCATCAAAATGCCACCCAAAAAACCACCGCCTGGACCTTCAAAGAAAGCCGAGGCGAAGAAGAAAGAGAAAGTTATAGAGGTGAGCGCTTACTACGGGGAAATCGCTGGTGGCATGGCTCGCAACCAGAGCGTGCAAGGTTTCTCCCGGTGTTTTCTCGGCTCTGCAGTGTGTGTATCACGCTCAATTCGGCAGAGCCGCAAGATACTCCTCGGGGGTAGAAATTCGATTCCGCCATCAGTGAGACTGTCTGCACGTGACACGCGTCCCACAGACGTCACAGCTATCAATTGTTCGTCCGGGGTCGCCGACGACTCGAGATCCTCCTCATTCGATCAACGCCATCCGGGACCTCCGTGGCGTCGAAGGGGGATCTTGCCGGGGCTTGCGCGAATTCACGTTTCGCTTCCGTTGCAGGACAAGACTTTCGGCTTGAAAAACAAGAAAGGCGCGAAGAATCAGAAATTCATCCAGCAGGTTCAGAAACAGGTCCAGCAAGGTAATCAGCCGCGGAAAGCTGCGGAAGAGAAGCCCAGTGATCTCAAGAAGAAGAAGGAACAAGAGCTTGCTGAGCTCAACCAGTTGTTCCGACCGGTTATTCAAAAAGCTCCGAAGGGTGAGTGGTGACAATTTTTGAGTTCGTAGATCCTCTAACAATCGTGATCGCGGCCAAGCTTCCTCCCGGCTGATGTCCCGGCGTTGGACAGAATATGACTTATTTATTCCATGATCTGCGTCGCAGATGCCGATCCGAAGAGCGTCGTGTGCGCTTTCTTCAAGCAGGGGCTTTGCACAAAAGGGGCGAAATGCAAGTTCTCTCACGACTTGGCACAAGAACGAAAAGCCGAAAAAAAGAATATGTATCACGACGACCGGGAAGAGGACACCATGGAGAACTGGGATGAAGCGAAGCTCAGAGAAGCGGTCGAAAAGAAACACGGGGCAGCTGAGAAAGCCATGCAGAAGACCGATATCGTGAGTTTTCCTTCTCGTCCGCTCAATATGCTTGTCCGCGGCGACCGGAGATTTCGCTGATGGATCCAGAAATGAGGAGAATGATCCTAATTTCGGAGGTTATATTCAGATTTGCAGGCACTTCCTTGAAGCGTTGGAGCTCAGTAAATACGGATGGTTCTGGGAGTGTCCGAATGGAGGTCTGAAGTGTCATTACCGGCACGCCCTTCCACCGGGCTTTGTTCTGAAGAAAGACCGCAAGAAAGATGAGAAGGATGACCAGATCACAATCGAGGAGCTCGTCGAATCAGAACGGGCTGCTCTGGGACCGTACCAAACTAAAATAACCCTGGAAAGCTTCCTTGCATGGAAGCGGCGGAAAATCGAGGAGAAGAAAGAGAACGCGCGTCAAGAAACAGATCGGAAAAAGGCTGAATTCAAAGCCGGGAACAAAATCGGTCTCTCAGGGAGGGACATGTTCACGTTCAACCCCGATATGGCCAACGAAGACAATGAGGGCGAAGATGGTGAGCACCCTTTAGTTTCAGATCCATGCTGATGTAGAATCGAAGCCATTTGACATGGCGTTTCAGATTCCCGTCGTTTTCTCGACTTCGGTATATCCGGTAATTCATCTTCCCCTCCTCCAGGCGAGGCCTTCGACATGCGACAGCGCGAAGACGATCTCGACGGAACGAGCGATAACGCAAGGGAGATCGATCTCGAAGAGATCGCGAAAGCAGCGTCTAGCGGCCATCTTCCCTGTGAAGGGACCGTGGCTGACAAACGTTACTGGGAATTAGAGCCTCCGGAAGCCAAGAAAGCGGAGGTCCCCATCAACGAAGAACTTTTCAATGAGGAGGACCTGGATGGCTTGGAAGACGAGTTGGACGATCTTGATGTGGATGACGATGGAGATGATGACGGAGACGAAGGGAGTGGGGCGAGGCTTTCCTAGCTGAATTGTTAAATACTGCTCGAGATAAAGGGAGGTTTGTACTCGCTCGACGAATTTATATGTTTCCGCAGAGACTCGTTTTCATTCTAATTCTACATGAACGCAGGATGGCGCTCTCGCAGTACCTTGACAGGTCGAAAGTTCCCCTGAAAGACTGGAGGCAACGAAAAATTCCAAAAGACAGAGCCCCCGTATTTATTTCGATTCGTGTACAATTCGAATCGCTAGAAATGACAAGGGGGTCGGAATATCTCATGGTCATCGATGGTTGGATCAACGGCTAGGGAAACTCCGCGGGCTCATTAACTTTAGAACATCTGCTTGAGTGAGACACGAATCGGCTCTCAAGGGACAATACCGGATAATTCTGGGAATAAGGACAGATAATCGCACAAATCTGATCGAGATGAATACTGATGAGCCTCCTCTACCTGCCTCTGACCTCAAGAAGCTCACCGTCGGCGATATATTTATGTACTCACTACATTCCGAAAGTACGGAGCCACCATTTGGGGACTATTAGGCAAAACTGAGCGAAACAGCGGAGCATCTTCACATAGACCGACAAAAATCTGTAGGCCGCTTCCCGCAGAAACATTATGAATAGTATAGCCGGAGTGGATGATCTGAGGAAAAAGGAGCGGATGCATCGAATGATTAAAATGAATCCATCTCCCAGCATGAGAAAACTGATCATCATCACACAAAGCGATATCAGCCAGATGGAAACCAGGAATTTCCAGAAGGGGTTTTCGATGGGGAACAAGCCCGAGAATCTCGAGCACTTCCGTAAACCAGAATCGAGACGGGAACTCATGTGGTTTGACAGGTGACACAGAGTTACACCTTCGGGGAGATTACCAGAGATGATATCATCGTAAAGCGCAGAAGCCTGCAAGACAACGATGGAGACCTTCACGTACGTATCCACGGCATCTGAGCTGGGTGCTGTCACCGAGGCGCATCGGAATATTCGATATCATCTCCCCGAGTGGATGCGGGAAATGCACCCACCAAATTCGTCCAGCGTATTTCCAGCTCGAGATTTCTGTTGTTGTGACGCCCCGGGGAGAGTAAGCAACGGTTGCACTTGAGCGGTTCTTGGCGTTTCCCCGGAGGGGTCTCTGGCTCGAAGGGGTCGCCTTCTTCCAGAGGTACAACGATCCGATCCAATCGGGATGCCGCTTCCTTGAGAAATTCTTGCATTGCCATACCGGAAAACTTTGTGGTTATCCCTCATTGAAGTTCGGGACTTGTCGCCCGTCAGTGTTTATTATGGTCGGACCAGATGGAAATTAATTACGAGCCTTACGCACATGTGCGAACTTCCCGCGCGCACCGCTTTGCACTGACTCGAGGGGCGGTGCGAAACGCACCGCGCCTCGAACTCCATGATACTGCCCTCGGCAGGAAAACTGCATGGGTGAAGTCTGTCTCGATTAAGACGCGATTGATTCGACGTCAGTGCGATGCTCGAAGGGACATGGAATTATCAGAGCCACCGAGGGTCCGAATCCTGAGCATACAATATATAGTTTTAATCGATAACTACTGACTATATTGATATACCCCGGCCGATGATCGACGAAGGAACGATGAGCGAGATGATGGAGGTGATCGCCGACAACTCGACCGCAGATCCGCGTAAGTTCAGATCGAAACTCTAGTCAACATCGGCTCCAGATGGTCCGAAAAATCTCGATGCCGTCGATTCGTCGCGTCAACAGACGCCATCCTGGGGAGGTACTCAATTATATCAGCACATGCAATTGTCCTGACTTGTCCATGATGGGAAAATGGTCTGTCTGACCGACTTATTAAACGCTCCTTTACGATTCACAGCTGCTCCGAAGAGCAGCTCTGCTCGACCATCTCTCCGATCGCTCAGAACACACTTGAACTCGAAGGTGACAGCAGCGAAACACTGGAAATGATCGTCATCCTTTTCTTGGGATTGCTCGCCCCAGCCCTCGCTTTGGACCTGAAGACCGACTTCGAGGCTTGCATTCCCAGGCATCGATGTGTGAGCGAATTCCCGGAGAGACCCCCCAAAATTATGGATACTATTCTTTCGATCCTTGTGTCCTAGAGTGATTCGTTGTCCCCGAATCGATCAGCTGACCTGTGTCGAATGATGGGACTTCTCTGCACAGGGGAGTGGTATGCTCGTCGGGGGAGCGAGTGATGCCGTACAATGCGATGACAGATACCAAGCGGCTCTGGGAACCCTGAGGCGCGAGATCCCGGACGCGGAAATCGCCGGAGTGAAACAACAGGTACACATAGAAGTCGCTCGGTAGCCCTGGCCTCAAGGTTCCGCATCTATGACATGAGAGTTTTTGTTCAACAGCTAATGCTCATAACTCATTATCTTCCACCAGGTCGTTGCCGGGACAAATTACATATTCTTCGTGAATGCCGGCGAAAAGTGTGTCCAGGTCCCGGTGATTGTTCCCCTGGGTGGACAAGCGCCGGTTCTATCTCAAGAGGCCGCGTGTCAAACGCGCGGGAGATGTGCTAGCAATCTTTTTACTTGTGGAGAGAAGTCGGCTGTTTAGAGAAAACGACACGACCCTCCTTTCGACCACTCATCCTAGTCCGGCTCCGAAGAATATTGGAATCGAATAAAAATTTTTAGAATCAATCAGGAGTTGAAACGCTCTCTCTAGGGACTCCAGCGAAAAGATCTTTCCTTGCTGTTGGTTTCGCTGAATCTTCAGCGATCCGAATCGTGGAAAAGACTCCGATGAGAACTTTCGAGCTTTGGAGTTCACAAACAGAGGGCCAATCATCGATATCTGACTTCTCCCACGTCTGTCCCCTGTCGGTGAGCTCACAGAGCTTCCGCTCATTAATTGAAGGAGATGCAGCCTTGTACCCTTCCGACCCGAATATACCGAGGTTTTCCGGGTCTGAATGGGACTTTCCAACCTCATTGCTGCCATTTTCTTCGAGTTAATGAGTGGCTCGGAGATTCTGTCAATCAGATTCCAAAACGTCTTCCCAGTGATGTTCTTAAACATTGACCCGGAGTACGCTCAAATCCTCGCTATTTATTTTTCCGGGAACGAGTTCAATATACAAGAGCGGCCTCCGATCTTTCACGAGTCCTACTGCCACAGCAAACTGTAATGAATTCCGGCATTAGGTTCCATGGAATTGGCAGACCGAGATCTCCTAAGGGATATGGCGAGGATCCGATGTCACGGAGAGCTCCGAAGACTCCCGACTGAAAGTTCTTACCTCATGAAGGTGAGTTCTGGCATTCCCGGATCAGCACCGTTTTTCAGACCTGGAAATGATGGGGAGACGTTCATTCACTTACTTCAAGTGCTCTTGTGACTGCCAGAGAGACGAATAGGGAGGAAACCGTTCCTTACATCAACGCTCACTCAGCTCGCTCCCGTGAGGAACTTATTCGGATAGAATACTAATCCATTGATGCTTTCGTCCCGACAAGCTCGTGAATCCGCCTCGACTTGCAGAAGTCGCTCGAGTGCGAGAACTGCCGACGTCTTCAAGCGAGTCGCGAGCTGTTCGGCGCCGAGACACCCTGTCTCTTCCAGCAAGCTCACAATCTTGTCCATCCAGGCGACTTCGTCGAGACTCGATAATTGTACAACCCGTAAGCCGGAGGCGAACGTGTACAATTTCACTGGGTGTCGCATGCCTTCTAGCGCCGCCAGCAAATCCTCCGGCGACAAGAGCTTCAAACCGCGAGCTCTGTTCACTCGACAATATGCCTCAGTCAGAGAGATGATGCCCGATGAGGCTTCGACAGCTGGGAGGAGTACTCGACCGATTTCCTGCTGGAGCTGATTGTCCGAAGGGTTCGCCGGCCCCTCAGAATTCTGCAGACCGATCGATAGGAGCTGACTTCGAAACTGAGCTGTCTCGTCATCGGTCAGGCCCTTGTCTTTAGATTTCAACATGAGTCTCTGAGAAAGCTCGACCATCTCTTTCGCCGAGGCCATTAGGTTCGAGAGGTCTTCGAACGCCGATGATATATGGAGCTCGGTTTGTTGCGCTTGCATCTGAAGTTTTTTCTGTATGCCACCGACTCCGATACCGTAGCCTTTCCGAGCAACTCCGTAGCACCATTCTTTAGCTCTGAGAGCGGCTTCTAGTTTGGTCAGCACTTCTTTACAGCCTCCCGCGCGGAATGAGAGTCGGAACGTCAAATCGGAGCTGACAGCAACGAGGATTTTCTCACTTTTCGTCCACGACCCCGCATCGAAGGAGACTTTCAAGATCCGGTCGAGATTCATGAAATATACTTGAGCACCGACGAAGATGAGTCTTTGGTTGGTGAGCTTCAGTTGGCCTTTCTCGAAAATTATCTGTTTCTCCTCGTATAGTGCCACTCCTTCGGCAACACCGATCACGCGTTCCATGGGTAAGAGAACATCGGCCGTTCCGAACCAGAACTCGCCGAAAGACATTATGGCACTGGTGGAATCGGAATGGCCAGATCCGATCGGAAGACTGAGTTTTCAGAATTCTATCTGGGCCACTGACTCACTAGGAGTTGCACCGACAAAACATTGACAAAATCTCGGACGCGTAAATGGCGGATCGCGGATGGAATCGTGTACATGACCAGGGCATGTTTTAGGCATATTCTCCGGAGCCTCCACTTCGACTTTCCTGAGCATCCCTGTCCTTGGGGTAATTTGAGCGGAAGGGACCGTACCCCGGAATCGCAGAGATCTCCCGAGGAAAAGACAGATCTCACCCTTTTCTGCCATGAATCAAATTCTCGCTGATGATACTCACCGAGGTATACGACCATAGGAATGAAACCGTAATGGAAAGCGGTCTTCCCGACGGCCAACGCCGTGAAGAAGCCATTCGATAGAGCTGACTTCACGGTCATTTCGAGATCGAGGGAATCCGATGAAGATGCTCAAACTCCAATCGAAACGTTCGATATGTTCTATGCAGCGCGGACCCGCACCTGTGAATGTCGCTTGTGATTCTCGGCGGCACGCTCGGACAGCTGCCGGCCCTCCAAGCCACTGGAATTGAGCGTGTGGCGCACGAGGTTCTTTGAATGCATTTATTGAAACTTTGTGGAAGACTTTTTTTTCGGAGAGCCGCGCTGAACTGAGGATGCAGTGAGTCAAATGAAGAATTTTGACTCTCTTATGACTGAACGATGATCATCCCGAGATCTCGATCAAAGCGTGCAAATCTACCGGGGGAAATATTTCCGAGTGGAGCCTTACATTCTCTCATTCAAGCTAGGGAAGGCCCTGCGAGTTCATGATTCAGGTTCAGATTTGTTCCGGTTCTTGAGCCACGATTCTCGTCTGCTGATGGAGTATCATGCCGGAGCGCGGGAGGCATTCTCGTTCAGCCCCTCGGCAGCCGAGTCTCCATTCCGAGCTCCGGTAGGACTCCACCGCATCCGGTATGATTTTCGCGTGGGAATCAGTTTCCGTTATACTTTAACTCAAGACCAATGACGATAAGTGTACAGAAGCGAAGAATCAAGGATGCAGTTTTCTTCTGCGACTGTACCTGATCGCTACAATCACAGAAGATCCCTCGCGATCTACTGATCGGGCACATGAATCAGGACGTCGTACCCAGGAATGATGTCCCATATCGGACGCTCGACAGCAATCCGTCGAAAATCTTCCGAGAGAAAGTAAGAAACCGTCAGTGTAGGTGCTTTATTCATGCTTCTCTCGATTCAATTGTGTACATACGTGGCGCTACCAGCCAGACTGACGGGCCCCGACATTTCGACCACAGTCGCGTCGGAATGTCGGGTCAGTCTTTCGGAGGCTCCGCCATCATCCTCGATGTCGAATCCATGCGGCTCCTTCGCCAGCAGAGCTCACTCCTATCTTCCTAAGAATCCACCCACGATCCCGCCGAAAAGTGACAGCAGGCCACTCACGATCCCGAACACACCGCCAAGTATCCCCGAACCGCTGCCACCACCGAGGAGACCTCCGAAAAGGTTACCGAGCCGACCGCCGGCGCTGCTTCCGGATCCTACCAGGAGAGGGAGAATGCCTCCTTGAAAACGTTCTAACCCGGCAGCATTGCGATCCATGAATACTACGAGGAGGCTCCAGGTGAGAGCCGAGAACACTCCGGAACCCATTTTTCGAGTTCCAGTCGATATCAGCTGAATTATAGCGGTCTCGAAACTAGTTGTAAAATGGGAGTACGAACCTCCTCCCGCTTGTTGTGCCTGACGTATCGGAGAGTCCTCAGATTCCGCATAGGCTCCGATCAGGCTGCTTGAAACCGTGTCCATCATGCGACTGCAATTGCTGATAACTGGAATATAGTCCCATCGCATCGCGACCGTATCGGACGCGGAACTAATCGATCTGTGTGCGAAATATCGATATTTGTTCTTCAATTGAAACTAGTGGGTCATTGAAAAATCCCTGATTCAGATCGAACCCGAACACACTTCTTGCTATGGGATCAGTGGCTTAATGGCGGTGCTCCTGTTCCGAGGAAATCTCCTGCTGACCCTTAGCCGCTCTTTTGAAGAAAGTTGTCCCATAATCAGCCGTAAACACCTTTATGCTCCCCGGAAGAGCGTTCGCAATGAGTTGACACGCGGCTGAACGTCAGCTGGTTTTTTCTCTTCTCAGGAGATGTACAGAAAACGAGAAAACAAGACGTGCTCTTCAGTCGGACGGACCATACTTCATAGCTCCGAGAATGGCAGACATTGCTGTCGCGGAGATACGTTTGAAGATCGCTTTGAATTCGGCAGAGGATTCGAATCTCTCGCCGAATCAGGAGTTGCGGCGAATAGTTGATCGGTGGCCTCCGACGATCAAATAGGAGCAGTTCGACTCGACCAATGAAGCTAACGATTCGCTCGAGGATGTGCCCGATTCCAAACAAGGCACCCTGAGGAGTCGAGGGCAGCTCTTTCTCTCAATGAGAGTCAGGAAACGTTCAATCTTGCAGCCGATAAGCATGGGGTGAACGAGCAGATTGCGATCGGATCGGCTCAGATTTTCGATGCGCTGTCTCGGGACCTTCACCGGATGCTCTCTGGGTTCGTGACGCTTTGCTCCCCGGTCTCGCGATATGATGCTCGATACCGACTGTCCTCCATATCGCGTCTTCGAACGAAAGGAAACGGGGCACTAGGTATCCGTATGACAGGTACAATGACGACTATTTCATCGCGGAAGAGAGTCACTCGAAACCGTTCTCACTACTCTACAGCCCGCCGACGGCGATGTTTCTTCGGAATAGCCGCACGGAGGAATTCAGAGAACGATCGGTCGACTCATCAGCAGGAAGCGCTTTCGCTTTTGAATCAAAGAAGGAGAAAAAGCCACGGGCGAACTCGGTCACCAGAATCTGTACAATTTTCGTCACGACAGGAAGACCCTAAAGCTCGATAAATGAGTCTTCAACTCTTGGGTCGGCGGTACCGGAATCATTATTAGACGCTTGCTGCCGATCAGAGGCTCTAATCTCTTGGTTAGATAGCCTCTCCACACGCTAATTTTATTCGATCACAGAAGAGAAACATTTCAACTTTCGATTTTTGAAGAATTTTCAGTCGACGCTGGCACAGGTTTCATTGGATGGATCTTCGCGACAAAAAATCTGCGTCGCTGGTCTGCATCTGACGACGTTGAGGGTGGAGACCGCTTCTCCCAACCAGGTCATGCACAGCGAACAATAAAATTACTCGCCAAGCAGGCAGACAGTCACTCACTCACTCACAGTATTACTGAATAACCACAGACCTGCATTCTTTATGCGGAATTCAGAGCTACTCGTGTTTCCATAACAGAAGCCATCAGAGAATTCCCACCTTCGAGAATTCTAATTACCGAGTGTTGTTATTCAATAACTCACTAGCTGCAGAGCGCGATGATTCGGTAGTCTCAGTCAGCGAGACTCGGTAAGTGTTGTGCAAAGAATGACAATTCAGCTATCGAGACTGATCTCAAAACTCAGGGCTATCGTGACGATTCATGAGAGAAGATACCGGCGACCAGAGTTTGACCAAGGAGAATACGGACTCAGAATCGACTCATCTCGGGGAGAAACAAAGCTCAGCAGCACACGGACATCGGAGCGAACAAATTACCTATGTATGGGGGAGGTCAACTCCTCGGGAAGGAAGTGTGAAGGTATCGGCACATTGTTGGAGAGAGTGGCGAAGTGCGATTCAACGAGCTGCTTTGGATCCTCTCAGGAATTGTTCATCATTGTCCTTGCGAACTCGCTCTGAGAATCTGGCGCTGATACCCTCTGAATAGTCATGGCTCACGGCTCATCGATCGAGGCTTCCTTGAGGATTCGGGAGTCCGGAGCGCGCGCCTAAGCTGAGATCCATTCCTGGTGGCGAACTACCAAACTTTGGCTCTACCAAACTTTTCTACCTCGCATCTATCGAGAGTCCCTAGCCCTCCCCGAAGATCTCTGAAGGATCCCGCGGAAGAGCCCCAATGCTACGAATTCTGGATGCCGACACAGAATGTTCCCTTGGCGAAAGCTAAGATTCCCATCTGGGGAGCCGTCCCGCGATGGGCGAAGCTCTGCTGGGGATCATCCGGGGAAATTTTGTCAGCTTCGGTGTATGAGCGAAGCAGAAAATACTCTCATGCTCAGTCGAGAGGGACCCTCTAGCCTGAAGCAGTGAATCGGTTCCACAAAAGTCGACAAGCGTTCATCGTGTACCCTCACGGAAACGGCAAGAGTGGCGCCGCAGCGCTCCTTGTCAAGCGCCGAAGGAGTTTCTCACTCTTGGTTTCGACTTGGCCTTAACGAAGAGTAGTACTACGCTAGCGCGTGCCAGTTAAGTCATGCAATTGCTGATAGTGTTGGTAGTCTTCGTTTGCGCCGCTGAGGCGTTCAATAGATGTTCGGAGGGATTGATCGATTGCAGAAGTTTCTTCAAGAAGTGTGTGACAGGAAGTGACATATGTGATGGAGTCAAAGATTGCGCTACGGGATTCGACGAACGTTCCTGCGATTGCTCTCACGGTAAACACTAGGCATTCAATCCTGAATCTAGTTCCAGCGTGACCTGCTCCGTACAGTCCGAGGAAAACACATTTTTTCGAGCAGAGATATGAAATTTTGAGGAGGCCAATGATTGAACCGACTGGACCTCCGTGGATACTTCCTTCCTCCCTTTCTGATTGATTACAATTCATCGTCAGATAGCGATTGCCCCAAAGACGAGATCTGCTTGATCCGGACGGTTGGGAAGGGCTGCGTGAAGAAGACCGTATGCGATCCTGGATACGAAGCGGTAGGACAACTCTGTTTCGACGTCGACGAGTGCGCGACTCAGAAACACAACTGCTCGGAGAATGAGTTCTGTATCAATCGAGAAGGTATGTCGTCTCAGCAATCCGCTCGATTTTCGATGCTCAACTTCGATATTCCTCGGTATATCCGGAATGCCCCGAGAGCGGTCCCCAACACGTTCCCCTTGTCCCCCGACAGGATCATTCGAGTGCAAATGTAAGTTCGGATATTATTTCGATTCGCTCGCAAGACGATGTTTCGATATCGACGAATGCCAGAGTGTGCATTACTGTGAGCCACCCGGACATTGCACGAACACCCGAGGGTCATTCCAATGCCTCTGTCCGACCGATCTCTTCACCACGAAGCATATCGTCGTGCGATCAGACGGTTCCACGTATGAGGTGACTGATTCATCTAGCTGCACCGACGAGATCGGAGTCTTCTAGTTCCTCATTGTGTATATATCGATCCCGAGATTCCGTCGATTCCGACTTCCGTTCCTCGACTGAATAAGCTTTCATTTTCTAGAAATTCAGATGCACTACCAACGACACCTGCGAGGAGGATCATTCGTGCCTCTCATCCGTCAAACAATCAGACCCCGTCGCGTGCATTGACGGGATTTCCTGCCGTTGTCCCCAAGGTTACGCATTCAATGCGGAAAAATCCAGGTGCGAGGATGTTGACGAATGCGTCGACGGAAACCACAACTGTGAGTTCCGCTTCCTCTGTGTGAACACCATCGGAGGTTATCAGTGCTCGTGTCCTGCTGGTTTTCGAGATCGGCCAGAAACTACGACGTTGCGGGTCCCGATATCGACGACCGAATCTGAAAAGAATGATTTCCCGTGTGATGACATCGATGAATGCAAGGAGAACCTCCACAATTGTCAGTTCAACTGTAGCAACACTCCGGGATCTTACGAGTGCCTCTGCAAGACCGGATACCGGCAAGATTCCTCGAAACGACTTTGCCTCCCCATCGGCGAAACATCTGAAATGCTCATATCGAGAGAGGGGAGATTCTCCGTCGCAATCGTGGACCTCAAGAAGAATGCCCTCGATTTCTACGCGATAGTCGGAGACTGCAATGAGACCACCTCTGCAATTTTCACTTTCTTCCATGAGAGGCAAGAGTTTTACTTCGTGAACAGTGACCGGACCGCGATCTTCCGGTGGCACCTCCGCGAGTCATGCGAGGAGATCATATCCTCTCGAACGAACATTTCGGCTCTCGAAATCGACTGGATCTACAGTAACATCTATTGGACGGACAGTGACGGGCTGAGCGTCGCCACAATGAACGGAACTCATTCCAAAAGTCTAAGCGATCCTCAAACGCCGATAAAAAAAATTGTGGTCGATCCATTCAATGGCTGGCTGACGATGCTGAGAAACGGTGAAACTTGGCGAATCGGGCTGGACGGAAGCTCAGAGGCCCAGATTTTCGAGGGAGCTGAAGCTCTCTCGCTGACATTCGACGCGGAGGACGCCCAAATTATTCTCCAAACAGCTGAGGCCATTAGAATTTGTCCGGAGAGCGCGGTCAGCCTGGATCTGTGTCAGAGCCTACCCTTCACAGCGCAGGAATCACAGCTCCTTGACGCGTTCGGCGACTTCATAATTGTAGAAGAACGAGACTCTCGGGGCAACGCGAAGCTTCTCGTCTTGAGTAAGCGCTCCAAGGAACGCATTCATTTGAACACTTCGCTACCGGACCTTGGCGGCCGGATCGTTCATTCCATCAAGCAGCCTAAAGGTCAGAACAGATGTTCCCAGTCGTGTTCGGATCTATGCGTGAACTCGCCGGAATCGCCCCGATTCGCTTGTTTGTGCTCGAACGATGCAACGGAAAACTGTCATCAGAGATCTGTTCGTGGGGAGTTCCATGTCACAGATGAGCCGACGCGAATTAGCATGAGTCCCCCCGCGTTCCTCGGTTTCATCGCGCTCAGTATCTTGGGAATCGCTTGGGGTTTTTACGGAATATTCGATAGATTGAGAGGACACCAGCCAACATCGAGCCCCTGCCTCGCCGTAGATTCACCGGCTGTTGAGATGTCCAGTGTCGCGTTCCGACAGGACACATCCCGAGTGAATCTAGTCAATCACGAGATACCGCCCGATGTTCTCGGTAGGAATTTCCCGCTCTTCTCTAGCTGACGAAGACCCATTCGGAATCCACGATGCTCGCCGGAGCCGAGGATGAGAGATGTTGCCGATTTTATTTTGTAAATAAACCATGAGAATCGTTCCATGAGCTTAAGGGCTTTTCTTTTTTTGCATTTCTCTTTCTCGATATTCGAAGCGAATGAGGACGATGGCCCACTGCAGTTCCCCTCCCCCCTGTATTGGTCTCGACACGACTCGAACCTGATGCGGCGACTGTAGCAAAGTCTCGTGGGTGATCGGGGGGGGGGCCGCGTCCTCCCCCCTAACCGTTATGGCGTCTCCGGGCTTGCTGACAGGATTGACCATCGTATCGGTGGGATAACGGTACCTTGACCGCGTCCACTCTCACAAAAACATACAAGCGTCGCGCGGACCACCTTCCTTTTGAAATCGCGGTGCAGCCACCTTGAGCGTATCAGGCCGACTCCTCTTTTGTCGGGGTTGCTCCGTGGGGGTTCTAGAGGCAACACTAATGGAAGCTCCTCGATCCTGGTTGAAGAGGTGAGACGCGCCGTCAGAGCCGACTTCTGCTGTTTATACATGCGCTCCACCATTCCGTAGGCCTGAAGATGGTGGCCCCTTGTAGGATGAACATCGATGCCGAGAGCTCCCGGGGGTGGGTCAATAAGTTCGAGATGGAGTGACCGACTCGATCTGAGGTTGTGTACAAGGGCACAACAAAACGGCCAGCCCACGGAACACTTTTCAATGTCGGAGCGATCGGAGCCACGATCTAGGAGGAGATTCCTCCGAGTTGTTTAGCTTAAAACAGCGGAAAACATCCATACGAGACGCCACATCTCCGGGAGAGTCTCTCAGATCGAAGGATATCGGTCGCTCCGTTCACCGCAGTCTGAGACCGGGCTGACCGCGAGAGACGAAACATCCAACTATTTCAGTTGTGCCGCTCCCCGGAATTTATTTGTGGTTGAACGGTCGGAAATGAGAAGTTTCCCGCAAGCGAGCTCTGCTTCCAAGCCTCAAGCTCGGACTCCAAAATCGAATCAGCATCGATGATCATTTCGAACAACACCGCTCGCCCCGGATATTGCACGTTGGAAGCTCAGAATTAACGAGCAAAAGCTCCTGAGAAGATGTTGGCAGTCGCACTTGGTATGGTCGAACGAATGGGGATCGCAAAACGCGATTAATCTGCAATCTGAAGTCTCCCCGCATCATGCGTTGGTAGTGTATGGTCGGTACAAGCGTATAATCTCTCTTGAGTTTTCTTCTATCTATAGGACACGCCTCAGATTACACCGAGCGGCATACAGCGATCATACTGGCATACTATATTCGATCTGTCAAATGTGTACCGCCAGAAAACTAGGTACTCACGCAAGCGAGCTGCGAGAAAAGCCCCGCTCTCTTCACGACTCTGGCACCTGTTTTCCCACAGTCAGGAGTTCTTGCTTATCGCAGACCGCCCGTCCATGTCACCCATCGATCTCTCCTGTGGAGCCTGTCCGTTCATTGAGGACAAACAGTAGATCAGAGACTGCCCTACAAGATTAGAATTTGTACGGTAACCCCTTCTTGCTCGAATCATTCACGAGCCTGGTTCACGCGAGCTCGCAGACATGGTGTCGGAGTCCATCTCGGCTCAGAAGAATTCCAAAACTACGATGATCGCGGATGACTGGCTGTGACTACCTACTCTATGGGCCAACCGCGCCTCAGAACGGATTACACATCGTTCTCGCTCCGCGTGCGGCGAAGGAGGGTCGGCGCGCTCGTTCACGAAACCTCCCTCCCTGTCGATTCTCTGGCCCAACACAGGCATCCCCCAGTGCTCTCGCGACAATCACGCGTAGCGATTTCGACGCTGATGAGAGCGACGCATCGTACAAGAACATGATGTATGATTATCGACAGTAGTCATTAACACATCTTTGATGCTCGACCGTCGATGCTACGAAAAAAGGTCCCATCAAACTTCGCCGAGCGGCGAACTGTCTGCCAGAGAGATCGCTTCCCTCATTCCGGTTAATTTCCTCCATGCGACGATCTGACAAGCCTGGAGTTCCAGAATGTTCCGTGGGCGAGAGATTCCAGCAATTCAGCGCAGCTCCCACATTAGCAGCTCCCGCCGAAAACGCGCGCTCATAGCGCGGCTTCGTGAACTCTGGTGCCCGTTCTGCATCTAGTCGACAAGATGGCGATACACACCACTCTTCTTTGTTGACTTGTTCTCAAAACATTATCATTAGCTAAGCGAATCGCTTCCCGGTCGTTTAGAATGTTGCGTGATATCCTGATGAAGCGATAAATCCAAGAGGATTGACCTATGTTACGGTAGGTGGGGTGAACCGATTGGCCGTGAGCCTTCAGTTTAATCAATTGGAGAGACGTCAGATCAAAATAGAAAGTATTCGAATGGATTCGGAGCTGTTGCGAGCGCTTCCACGCGTGATTGAGAATATTTTCACTCAGTATTCGGGGAAAGCGATCATTGGCCTGACCTTATTATTATCGTCGATTGATGGGGCGCTCCAATTTTTTTTGCCTCCAATGACGCCGAAGTCCCAGAATCGAGAGAGCCTTACTTGATACTTTTCTGCTCTGCTACACTTCGAATATCATTCGACGGACTGATATGTGATATATCCCCACATCATCCGGATCTTAAACCACATTTGACGACTTTCGAGCTGATCTGGTGTGCCACGGAACTTTGACCACGTTATTAATATTTACAGGGTACCGTAGTCCGGGTGGCGGCTGATGGGTGATGACAGGTGTGAGGTTAGAGCTACTCGTGTTGAGCTGGAGCGCTCTCGGTCCGGGACTTCGATCCGAGCCTTGTACATAAAGTTTGAGAGACTATTTCCATCGAGCGTTGCGAAAACGCCGATTTGCCGCTCAGGGTCACTGCCGTTTTTTTTGCGGTTCCTCCACGCTCGGCTCCCGCGTCGCTCAAGCTGAGATCGGCAGCTCGGAGAAGGTAGAGGTATTGTGATGGTACTCCGAATTATTTTGAGGGCAGAGAAGAGAATTTCTTGCCGGCTATCTGCAGCGCCTTGTCTTCGAGTTACTTTCGGACAACCTGGTCTGCCGTAACGCTCTAATATCCGAAATTTCAGAATCATTTTAATAGTGGGAGTTCGAAGCTTGAGCTGGACCATTCCAAGAGGACACGACTCCTAGATAAGCGTATATGGTAGGGCCTCTCAGAATATGATCATTGGACGAGCTGCAATTGTCTAGAGATGTCTCCCGACTGGAATATGATGATTGGCGGGAATAAAATATCGTGGTCCTTCGACAGTCTCAAGAAGAAGTGATGCTCATCACATCGGTCAAACCAGCGACCTCGTCAGCGCCCAGAGTTCCGAAGATCGAGGTCATAGAAATCTCCGACGACGAGGATGACGAACCTGAGAACGTCTGCAGGGCTTTCTCGAGGGGAGCATGTCGACGACAGGCAGTACCAAAGAGGGATTTCGTAGAGATAGGGACTCTCCCCACTGAGTCCGCCAAACGCTTGAGAATTTCGAATGCAGCGCCCAGTGCCCAAAAGCTCAATAATGGAGTCCAGTCGCGAGAGAGCTGTACCCACGCCGGAGACCTTATTTCGGCTCGGGTCGGGAATTCTGACGAGAATGATACCCGCAACGGTATGCTCTCTGCTTCCCTCAGCCGGGAAATGACACCGACCTGGGGCCCCACGAATGATTTACGCGCGCAAACAAAGACCCCAAAAGCTCCGCCCTGTTCCGGAACAAGCTCGCAACCCACGCTTCGGCCTCCAGAGCAGAGAAACATCCAGATCAAAGAACCAGCTCCCGCAGATCTCAAGCCGGAATTCGGGAATTCGGAACCGGAAGTGAAGCCGGGAGCTTCTGGAATCGCGCGATTGGCAAATGGCGAGCGGACGTCAGAGTCTATCGCTGGCGAAGAGAAGACAGGAGATCCTCCGGATCCTCCGCCCGCGCCCTCGCATGATGCTATTTCACCCCAAAAACAGTTCCTCAAACCGCCGAGTCCGAAGGCTGCTCTTTCGAAGAAGGATTTCATGAACTTACCTCTTGAAGATGTTGATCTTCTTGTCGCAAAGTGAGTGCTCGCGTTTCGGGAATCCAGCATGGGCTCTGCTTAAGCATGAAATGGGTCTGAAGACCTAACGAAGGAAATAGCTCAGAGGTTGCATTCTGAGACGCCCTAGAAAAAATCGGAATTCTACCGCATGCCCCTGTGGAGCTCTGAGTGTTTACGCCTACCAAGATCCGCCCGGCAATCTCCGAGCCTTCCCTGAGCTGGCTCGGTGGAGTATCGGTAGAGCGTTGCGAGGCATACGACTCAACCGTTCGATTCCTGCCAATAATTCAGAGCGTGATTGCTTCACAGGTATGGTTCGCACATTGTTCAGAACATTACCATAAAGGATATTCAGGGTAAAGGCATAGGCGAGTTGAATCTCCCGAAAAACGTCAAGGTCACGCCACAGCTGAAGCCAAGATTGAAGTTCAAACTACCGATTTCGGCAGACGATGAAGTTATTGTGAGTACCGTGATTGAGACAAATGACGACATCGAGTCCCGTCTCTGAAGTCGAATTGCTTGCGAGGCTCTTGAGCGTCGATTGCGGGAACGATCAAACTCGATCTGCGGATACGGCCACCTCACTTCTCGAGTTCAAACCTTCCCACGTCTCAGGTGATATCCGATGATGAAATCGCCCCCGACAATGCATCGCAGGAAGCTTCGACAGACTCCGCACCGGATAATTCAAGCCAGGTCGGTCTTCGGCTTTGCCCTCCCTGGTGAAAGTCGACGAGCATGAGTACCTTCGGGCTTATCGTCATCCACAATAGGGTCCTCGTTGCTCGCTCTTCCTACGATAATCATGAAGTATCCTGCTGATGGACATGATCTGGACTTATATGTATGTGCGCGTCTTCAATGTAACCGCTCAATCTGCAGGTATCCAAGACGGACTTCAAAGCTCAACGGGACTTCTTGGCCAATTTACAATTATTCCACGCTTTCAAACCGAAAAAACCTTTGAAGAAAGACATCGCCAACGTTTTAAAGACCCGCAACATCATGAAAGCGTGAGTGACGCTGAGTAAATGAAGACTTCTCTCACCTTTCGAAAACCGCGGCAGACACCATAGTATGACGCGTATCGGCAGCCGATTTTCCCGCCGGATGCGGCTTGGTGTGAGGGGATACTCAATCAAGGCGAACCTTAAGCCTCGCCCTCCTTTCCGCCGCAGGTACATTGCGAATCCGCTGGTCAGTATATTGAAAGCTGATTGTATATACAAATACGTGACCAACAAGGGAATCCTGAGTTGTGAACAGTTCCGAGCGAAAAGGGAAGTACCTCGTCGGAGAAAGAAATCGGCCGCTCCGAACAAAAGCTACCGCAATAAGAATCAAGTAGGCGTCATCCTCTAAACTCACGGCAATATTCGGGAATTCTCGTCGAGATCGCTCACGAGGACGTGGAACGCCGACGATAAATCAGTGTGTTCTGAATCCGTCATGGCTGATTTCAGGTGTCGGGAACGAGACAATCGGGACGGAGGCAGACCGTGAACTACTCTGGTTTCGAGCCAAGTACGCTGAATTCTTCCTGCAGTCGAAGATCGCTGGTTCATTGACGTCTAAGGCGATAGGTCATGTTGATTGATTCCTCTCCTTTTTTCAGAGCGCTTCGTCAGACGTTTCCTCACAAAGAAGCTTAAACAAGTGAGTCCGAAAGTTAGAGGTCGCGAATTGTCCACTGTCTCTCAATGCTGCATAATCCCAATCATATGAGATAAATTCACGAACTTATTCCAGAACATCCGCCAACACGAATTAAAAGGGATATGGACTTCATATAGTTGTCCAGAGACGGAGCATTCTGCGAAAGTCCCTGTAATTGTTCTCAGCACTATTGTTCCCGACAACTTGAAGCAGTATGGGCACAACATCGACGAGTACAAATTTGATGAGTGTGAGCGTGACGCAATCGCTGGTACGTGGTATTCGATGTTGTTCAAGTTCATGCGGGGCTCGATCTGCCGAAGCGATCGGGACTGAATCCGATGCTCGATGATCGACATCCCTTTCGAATGAGAGTTTTCCCATTTTCAGCCGAGGCCAAAGAATTCAAATGCAAATGGTGCTCATTCCACTGCTTGAACGTCCCGAGTCTTCGCGAGCACTGCTTCGATTACCACGGAAAAATTTTCCCAACTGTGATCTAGTGAAGGATAGGTTGTAATCAGACGTATCAAAGACCGGTTCCGAATTCGCCATTTTGAACACTTTTCGGACCTACGATTCCGCCCGGCGAATATCTTTTGCATTCACTCACTTGTGATGCTGAAACACTAGCGTGGCAGCTCTAAGCTCCCGAGCGCATCCCGACTCCACGAGAGAGCTCAACGGCTTGAGAAATTTTCTTCGGATCCAGGTTGGACCCCGGAAGTTTCAATCGACCGTTGATTCTCGATTGTTATCGATAACAAAACTACCTTATTTTACGGCTAATTCGATTTGCGGTTGGAGCGGAATCTGGTACTATATCATACAAAAGCATCCCCGAAGTACGAAAAGGAATAAAGTGACAAGTTATGCAAGAGCCCAGTGAGCCTGTTGAGTAAACCAATCAGATTTCCGCGGGGTCTCGGTTGTGAACCTGCGGCGATTGCGGCAATCTCGACGTCTCTCACTCACTGTTATTGATGAGAAAACCCATTCCTTGTTTTTGAGTTGTAGCGGCCAGATATCCATCCCTTAGAATGAAAACATCGAGAATTCTCAGAGGGAATACGCCATACTCGGAGATGAAAACATCGAGAATTCTCAGAGGGAATACGCCATACTCGGAGATGATTCAGGATCCCGGCATCGACCAGTTTTCTGGCTGCATTCCGCAGTATTTCTCTGCGAATCTCCAAATCGGTGCAGGCCAATACCTGGGATCCCCGGGGTTCGCGCGGAGACATACAGAGGACGGGAGATTTTCTTCTCGTGCTAATATCTCTAAGCAAGAAACACAACACTCTCGGGCTCCGCTCCACTCCTGGGATTTTCCCCTCATCGATTAGGGAAGAATCCTTCCCGATGCTTCATTCAATTCCCGATATCGAACGATGCGTACCTAATGAGTCATTAGTGATAATCAGTAATCAGGCTTCGAGCTTCGAAATCGTTCACAGCCTAAGCAAAGCGCGGATTGAGTTCCGGATGATCTGAATCTGCGTGCAATGAGCGCTGCAATTAGTTATTGCATCGTGCAGCTGGGAGGAATCGAAGATCGATCGGGCTGGCTTGGTGAACACCAAATATTCCGGGGACATTTCAAGTAACGATATCAGATCCGAACCTCTTGAAGCGGCGGACCGCAGATTCCTGTAGTGAAGGATGGGTCACTTCCCTCTCGATTCTATGACCAGAATGCTTTGTCCCTCAATCGTCCATGCTTCCAATGCGGCCGAAATGCGTGGGTCTCAAGCACAGCTCTTCATCCGGACACTCGATACGGAGACTCTCCAAAAAATTAGGTCCACTACTGCCCCGGAGCCGAGTATCGGAAATGAGTGCATAGCTGTTTTGCGTAGTTAGTTCCATAGAGGAGAAAGAGAATCGAAGCCAATCATATCAGTTTATTTGAAAGGGCCTCTCCTGTTCGTCTCACTCAATATGAGCCTCTCAAACGTCGCGAGATTGTGTCGTCTGTCTGTCGGTCGGTCGCTCACCCAGTCGACCACTCAATTAGTCGGGAAACCGTGATCCTTCTGAGTCAGTGTCGGCCTTACGCAAAGCGTGCTGCTCCGTTTCCCCCTTCCCTCAGCTCCCTTACTTGGGGGCGCGGAAGTCGCGATTTCTTCGAGGGAACGTGCAAAAATCTCGGGAATGATCTGAAACCGCGATAACAGAAGCGAATCCGTACAAAGAATCGTCAAAAGAGTGGTCTTCTCCTCAGATATGGCGAAAGGATTATCCCCGCTCCATGTTCGCGAGGATCTTCCGATTCTGCGTTTGATGTTTTTGATACTGATGATTGGCGTGCGTAGGAGCGAGTCTATGTTTTTCTCCAATCGAGCCGTATGTGCCGGTCGTTTGGTTTGTCGCGGTGGCATTATGTGCGTCGAATACAGCAAAGTCTGCGATGGAATTCGTGACTGCATTTTCGGCGACGATGAGATGGAATGCTCATGCTCCTCAGGTGAGTTGATAGTTCATCCAAGACGGTGCGAATTGGAATTCCCCGTCGGACCCTCCCTCGTGAATTCGGTTTCCCTGCGGGCTCCGGTCAATGAATCCTGAGGACGCCATAGATTCCCGAGGGATCCACGAAGATTTCCATAGGGGCCAACGATCTGGAAGGAATGCCCAGTTCGATCGGAGCTATTGAGAGCTGGTCGCAGGTCTGAGTGCTTCTCTCGTCGTCATCGATTCATTCATCTGCTCCATGGAATTCATGAATTGAGGAGTTCCCTTCTCCGTTTTGGCGAAACGCTCACGGCAATTTTCTTCTCCCGCGGGTGTTGGCCCCCAAGTTTTCCCGGTCGAGTAGCCTAGCCAGAACCCCTCTGTGGGTCTTCTCGGTGAGGGTCGGGGACAAACCGCCAGGAAAAGCTGCTCTATCAGATTTTCGGATCGTCATTCCTCGCTGGGTGCTCGGCCTGGGAAGCCTGATCTGGCACCGTCCTGAAGGGAATCGCTGAACATGACCATGAAAGTCAGGCTCCTGAGGAACCAGGACGACGCCGCCAGCGCATCGGGATTTCCCGAGTTTCCGACCGAAAGAGATCCTCGTCTTAATGATATCCAATCCCCACAAGTTCAGATGCTGACTGTCCCGAAGAAGCAGTCTGCGTGGCCTCGAAAGGAAAAAGCGGAGCTTGTCAGCGCAAGTGCCGCAACGGCTTCAGGGATTATCTAGGCCGATGCGTTGATCTGGATGAATGCTCATCTGGAAATCACACTTGCATGCAAGAAGAACGATGCATAAACACTATCGGTGAGCCTGCTCTTCGGTGCTTCTCACATAGCTCCCGTATCGGATGTTCCACATGTCGCTATCATTTCGGGAAGTTCGAGGGTCTGCGTTTCAGGGAGCTATCGGTGTGACTGTCCGCATGGATTCCACAGAAACAGCTCCGGAAGCTGTGATGATATCGACGAATGTACAGGACCCGATGCCAAATGCATAAGTTCCCTCTGTGTGAACACGCCCGGAAGCTTCCGCTGTCCCTGTCCGGAGCATTCCGAGCCATCGCGAAACTTCGACCCGAAACTCGGTATCATTGTGAGTTTCACCCTTCTGTGTCGTTTTCCTATAGCCTTTGACTTCCACACTTTTCCTCGAATTTCTGCCTCCCAATGCTTCAGCTCGGATGCTCGGAGAAGAATTATTGTCGCGACGTTAGTTGTCCGGAGCATCGGAGGTGCAAAGTCGACCTGGAACTGCCGGAAAAGTATCAATGTGTTTGTGCCCCGGGCTACCGTGAAGCGAACGACACGTGCTTGGACATTGATGAATGCCAACGAGCGGATAATGTCTGCGAGAGGTGAGTGGAACTCCAGGGGATCCACATGTGCTTCCCTCCAATCTATGACGTCAATGCGAAAATCGAGAACCGAACGCAGCTCATAAATTCAAAAGCGCTCTCATTTCTGAAGGGTTGCCCGAACATCGGAAAATCGTCTCAGGTGTCAAAATCTGGATGGCTCTCACGCATGCCGTTGTCCTGTCAGCACGAAGGCCATCGTTGTCGATTACAACATACTGATCGACAAGTGTGACATCACTGAAATGAGATGCGGGGTGAGGAAGTGTCCCCCGCGGAGTTCGTGTCAACACGGTGTGTGCGTCTGCCGGTCCGGTTATCGATGGGAGAATCATAGATGTGTGGATCTCGATGAATGTGCCTCCGTCACCCATGATTGCCCGGACGGTACGGTCTGCGTCAATGAATCGCCCGGTTTCAGTTGTGCCTGTCGTCCTGGCTTCCGTTTGAATTTTACCGAACGAACTGTGCTGGTCAACCAGTCTCGAGAGACGAACGAGAGTCTCAGTTTACACGAAGCGAAGTGTGTCGACATCGACGAATGCGCCGAGAATATCGCCGTCTGCGAACATACGTGCGAAAACGTCATCGGCTCGTACTATTGCCGATGTCCATCCGGGAAGCTCAGCATAGACCGCTACTGCTATCCCTTCCAAATGCCGAGAGAAATCATCCAACTAGACAAGAACGTTATCCACTTCGGAACCTTGCTCTTCAACAACGCTTCGATCAAGTTCGCCAATTACAGTCATAATTGTGAAACCGATCAGCCGGCGGCATTCGTTTACGACCAAAGTCATCGCAAGATATTCTACCTGTCGTCTGATCGTTCAAAAATTTTCCACGATCTCCATCTGAAACCCTGCCAGGCCCTGGTCACGGGAAGGAAGAACATATCGCACATGGTCATCGACTACAATTTCGAGAACATTTATTGGTTGGAGGGCTCGGATCTCCACGTCAAAAGCGTTCTGAAAGGTCACGAGAGACTTTTGCGAAGCTTCAACGAGACTTTCCGATCGATGATGGTGGATTCCGCACAGAGCTACATGGCTCTGGTGGGAGAGAAACGAATTTTCAAAGTAGACTTGGACGGGACCCGAGAAGAATCGCTCTATGAGAATTCGAACGTGAGCCGCGTTTTCCTCGACGCAGAAGGGAGTCCGCTTTTTTTGGCCAACGACACGCTCATTTCGTGTCCTAAGATGGGATCTCCGCTGGACAGCTGTTCGATATTGAACATAAGTGCGGCGAACAAGATGGTGCTCGGCGTTCACATGAACTTCGTACTGCTAATCAACGAGGAGAAGCTCCTCGAGGTCGTCTCTGAAAACTCTCGACAGGTTTTCCAGATACACACTGAATATGGTAACGATACATTGTTTGAAGTCATCCAAGCTGCGACGAGCATAAACTCGACACTCATGTGTGATTTTTGCGACGATATCTGCTTGAACTCGGGTACGACGCAGGAACGCTGTAGATGCGGCGACCAGCCCTGTGGCCTGGGTCCTGGTCTTGCTGTAGGGACTTTCATTCCGGTAAATCGCTGGAATTTGCTAATCGCCGTATTAGCGGGGGCTTTGCTCGTGAGTGCCGTTCTCAACTTGAAGAGATTCAGAGAACCCAAACGTGCTCCCAGCGCCGTCGGTTTTGACTCGACCACCGATCACGTGATTGTTGAGTCACCACAGACCTTAACGCCTTGTATCGATGTTCCCATGGAATCGCGATTGATTGTGGACGACTGACGAATCGCGTTCGTACGATTGTTTAATAAATTGACTGTTCCGATCGGAAGAAGCCTTGCTCCATAATTGAGCCATACATAACTATCCGGTCATCGAAGGAATCTGCACAGGAAAATCTAATGCGGGAGGGTTTGTGAAATACAGACTGTATATCCTTACGAGAGTTGTACTGGCTCTCCATGGGAAGTGTGCCCCATCCCCGCATCTTCGCTCAGTCAAGCATGCTCAGTGGAGTTTCACCTTTCAACGATTCATCATCCATTACCCAGGAACCATCACTCCAGGAGGATTCCATTTCCCCGGGACCCGAAGGGAACGCCCTAGTGACAACTTTCCCTGAGAGCTCGTCTCCCTGTTGTAGAGAGCCTTGGAAAGCCTTCGCCTGTCTGCTCACGCGAGCTGAGATAACCAAGAATCGCCACAATATATCCGAGGAAGCTCCGATTTATTATTCTGTCGGCTTCTCCTTAAAAGATACTCCAGTGCTCCGGAAAAAGCTGGCAATTTCTGAGAGGAAGGATAATGTGCGTGTATTCGCTCACTTGGAGTACTTCTCCGTGCTGCCTAGCGGCCTATGCTCCGGGGATGAGATCAACTGAGACACTCTCCACGCAGCTCAGAATCGGAGGCCTTTCCGAGCTGCTTCCACCGAGAAAGCGATGATGGAAGCTGCTAGTCCGATGGTGAGAAGTATGAAGGAACCTTGAAGGTCTTGCACAGTGAGCGGCTTTATGTCTTCAGCGGCCGTCGTTTTCATCAGAGCTTCGCATTTTTCGGCAGTTCTCAAAGTTACACCGAGCAGTTTGTAGAACAGGGAGCTTTCGTGGACCGTGAAAGTCCTGAAATCGTGAGCTCGTTGCGGGACTGGAGGATGAATCCGAACATCTACATACATTCTGCGGGACGAGATCGTAGAGAGGTCATCTACTCACGCAGACCGAATCTTCCCTCGGAGCTCTATGGACAGTCGATACGGCGATAGCAGGAAACCTGGTAGCGATCCAGAGCTCTCGGTGCTCGTTCGCACCTTGGGACACTTCCCTGTCAACTTCAGTCCGGTGATGACAATCGCCTGACACATTTGGGGGGTTGCCGCTACGACTCTCCTCTTTGCCGCCACTTCAGAAATGATGTCCACTAAGCCTGGCCCGTGCTTGAGAATTCCTTGAACTTCTACCAGTCTTGCCCGTAATTTCCTGAAAAGCTCGTTGCTCGGGTTCTGGGGAGGGAATAATTCATATTCAACGTTGGAGCGTCCGTCCACTCCTCAGCTCAGAACCGGATAGTCTTTGAAAGACGAGAGAATCTTCGTCTAATAACTCATATCACCCTACGAGTTTTTGTTGAACTCACGGTGAACACGCGAGCGAAACTCGACCCGCGCTCGCCATAAATGCGCACATCCGGGAATCGCAAGATGTCTTGGTAGGTATTGATGGAGTCCTCATCGTTCTTTATGGTCATCGCAGATGTCAATTGGCTGCTTAAAAATTCATTAGGACCACGGAATACGTCAAGAAGAATGTCATGATGCACAGGCGATACCAATCATCCCTGTTCCTGCTCGGATCTGCGAAGAAAAAGAATTCCGCGGAATCGGCGATCGAGTCGGTACGTTACTATTGGTAGAATCAAGCACGCGCTCCCATAATAAACGTGACGCAGCTCGATCGATTATGTCTGGGACGAAAGAAGGTCAAGACTCTACTGGGGGCGGAATTATCCCCTGGTGTCTTCGTAAGCCCTACTCCGATTCATGACCGTACCCACCCTGGGGGAAGAGGGAGCCGAAAACGCGCCATAAGGCATTCAGCAAGGTGGGTTTTGGCTCGTCGTTCCAAGGTGTGAAGTATCTGAAAGTTGCCATGGCCGAAGTTTCGCCCGCTAAGCCTTCGGGGAAAATCGCTCAACTTTTCAAGTCTTATGACTCATGACCTCGGGAGGTAGATGGTTATCGTCTTAACCTTTCGAGAGCCCAGAAGATGACTCCCATGAGCACAAGGCTGTAGAGTATGAGAGCCCACACTTCAATGGTGAATACCGAGATGAAATTGAAGGGATCGACCACCTGCAGTGGAGGAAACCCGAATCATCGTCCGGGTCAATGTGTAGGCTCTGCTCATTTGTTCAGAAGCATTGCTCCCCATCAGTGGACCGACCCTGCCCCTATACGGTAGAGATTTCCGCAAGTAGTCCAGCCCGAGAATTTCGGAATCGATCGGAAGGACTCCCAATATGATTTCCACTGAATTTCTACAGGGAGGAAAGCTCTTCCTAGATTCCGATAGTCTTGAGACCTTCTGCGATCGAGAGCGAACTCCTCGGTCCCGCTGACCAGGACAAAAAATGCTGCGGACTATGAGATTACCTTGGAGGGATATCCGGTCAGAAGTCGGTAAGAAGCCACGTCCAGCATGAGGGGCTCTGCTAGCTCGAGTCTCTCGTCTGTCATAATGCTGGGTCCCAGGAGGAGGTCGATTTCCTGCGGAGAATGGGGTCCTTTTCTGGCCACGTATCATCTCCGACTTGAAACCCTTGTCCCCGAGATAATTGACTCCCGATTGAATTCTGAGCTCCCTCCTACTCGAAATTCGAAATCGCTCACCCCCCGCTGTATCATCCCCATTAAGCCAGTGAAAGTTCCGTTTTCGAGTCTCGTTCCGTATTGTATATCCTCCGCGAACGTTGCTATCAACCTGCAATGCTCGAACATTAGCCTATTTTCGGTAAGCAGCTCGAGATATCGGCCGAGATGCAGCCCACGATAATGTTCTCTCCAGGGTTCTCCTTGAGGGAAAACTTGGGGTAAGATATCCGGAAACGGGATGTCGTGATTTCATGCAGAGCCCCAAACCAGAAACTCGGAGAAGTTTTTGCAAAACCTACCTGCGACCGACGAGGGATCCTATCGCCTCCATGAAGACCCTTAACGGACCGTCGAGCCGGACACGGTCATCTTGTCTCGATTTGTAGATGAAGGGCGCAAACTTAATTTTCCGCGTAGAAAAATCATTAAATGCTCGTGAACCGACCGGAGTGGATCCAATGCTCATAGGCACTCGCACATGACCGATGTGCTATACATTGAAAAACATGTACAGTATTCTCACCGTCACGAAGGCAAGGCGGAAAACTTCATCCGAAGCATTCACCTTGGGCTCGTAGGTTATGTAGGTTGGGGTAGAGAAGCCCATTGCGGACGCGCAAGCGTTTTGGACGTCCTCGAGGGATTGCCCAATCTCTTGAGGGCAGGATCTGAGCAGAAGGAACGAGAGTCCGCTTCTGTTCCCAGTCGCCGACGAAGATTTGGAGATTCCATTCTCGACATCGGGATTCATGATCCGAATGGATTGAAATTATGCATGGCTCATGTTGCGCAGAACTCCTCTCGCGGGAGGAATATGCTTTCGCGAGCTAGATGCACCTCATTCGACTGTCAGCTCATCAGACTCTTGATCATTTATCAAGGAAGGTCGCGTGTAGTGTCTCCCATTCATCAGGAGACGTGATTCCGATCGATACCCGCATTAAGCATTCCCCCTCATTCATCCGAGCATAAAGCCAACTGAGAACTACAAAGTATCCTCCATGGATTTTGACGGGAAATGTCGCTCTCGCGGCCTCAGGCCGAAATGCATGCGGACGAAGACAAAGCGCGCACGAGCAGATTCCCTCGCTCCATTAGAGGGCCGTCCCACATTCATTCTGTGACACTAATGATGTAGAAAGCATCGGAGCTTTCCGCCCATAAAATATGGGATACTTCTTGCATTCTGATCGGTCTTCATTGGCCGAATACGATTCCATGAGCCTCATTCCAATGATTCTGATGATTCCACGGGGCCCGTAGGTATTCCCTCCCCAGTCTGTCGGGACAACACGGATACCCTGGAAGATCATGGCAGGGGTGAGGAGGGGGGGGCGCTTCGAATAGTGGGATTTTCCCGCAGCGTGAAGCTCGTTGAGAGGTGCGGGCCTCGGTAATACCGGAGATGCACTGCTCGCACCGGATCCTAGCTGGCGAGTTGATGCTGATGAGGACAGAATTTGGTGCAGAATCTAATCGATTTTCTAGACAGAGCGGCGTAGAGATTTATCCATTTCTAGATGAATGACAAGAAGGATATCTCGAGTAAATCTCAAATCGATACGAATTCTGGGGTTGAAGCATGTTGAAGCAAGAGTCCTAAGTATCCTCAGAAGCCTCGCTTTCTGGTGGATTCGGGCTCACGAGCAGAGGTACCCTTCTTTCGAGAGATGATCGACGGTAGCACTGTCCTCCAGCATTAGAGAGTAGGATGCCACCCCGAAGCCTCAGCGTTTCGGAAAACGATCACCGAGTTCTGTTTCTCATTTAGAAAAGTCTTCCTAAGAATTCGAGGCGAGATCGAAGGGATTACCCGGGAGAAAATTCTGCTCCTTTGTAGGACGGGGGCCATCTTTGAAAATTAAACAGCGTTCTCGTTCTGCGACGGACTTAGTTTACATAGAAGAGAATCCGATTGAGTGACAGACATCCAATTTATTGAACGCTGCATCTGCTGGCTTCTCTCAAAAAACGTTCCAAGAGCTAACAGAGTGCTTGGAGGTGATTTGTCGATTCCTCGGAAGTAGAACATTCAGCTACTCGGAGAAGATACCTTTCCAGACAAAATGCCTCTGTTGCGGAGACGAGCTCTACTGAGACCCTCTTCGAGTAACCCTCGAACGGAGGCTTCCTCGGGTGAATTCCGTTGAGAAAGCGATGACGGCTGACGCGATTCCGATGACGAGGAGTAGGAAAGAGCCCTGAAGATCTTGTACAGTGAGCGGTTTGATGTTTTCGGCGGCAGTCGTCATCGATAGGGCTTCGCATTTTTCGGCAGCCCTTAAGGATATCCCCATCAATTTATGATACAGGAAGGCTTCGTGGATAGTGAAAGATCTGAAATCGAGCACCCCTGAGGACCTGGTTCGAGGGTCGAAGGCAGGGATCGGCATTTGTGGACACATCCTTCGTT